GGCTCATACAACTCTTATCACAATCCATACACACATCAATTGTGTAAAGCGCATTTGTACTTCATTCTCAAAACATTTTCTCTCCACTTAAACCCCCGACATTAGGTCCTCATTTGTCCCCTCCCTCCCCACTCATAAAGTATCTTACAAGCATCTTGTTCAGTGAGGTAACTTGAGATCTGTGCGCCAGACCTTCAAAGTCAATTGTGAACTAAGCACTGCGTGCTTATCGCCAAGTGATCAAATTAAGGCAAAATACAGGAAACATGCTAAGAATATAAAGTCTGAGAAGTAGGATGTATGGATAAAATGTTCATCATACTTAATTCACAACACTTACTCTGTATTCCTCATTGTACTTGTGTGTAACATTGCAACAGTCCATAACGAGCCTGAAGGTGTGGTGGATTGCCAGTTGGTTTACTGGCCACAGGGCCAGCTGTGTAAATCTACCAGGTGCCCTGGCAGGGGAAGATGAGTCTTTCTGCTCTAGTAAAGATTTAGAATCCCAGAAACCCATGGCGATAATTCTACTCTGTCCTGTAGGGTTGCTATGAATTGGAATCTACTAGATGGCATTGTTTTCCTTTTGATTTACCAAGCCTGACTTTAATAAGCTACTGGTACATGTATGTCCTTTCAGCTTATTAACATATATTTTGAAAATAAATGATTAACAATACTTTTTAAAACCAATATACCAATAACAAGGAACTCAACACGAAGGAATATGTGAAACTATAGTAAGTCATTTCTATCCATTAGGCTTTCAGTAACTGAAGTTTCATTGCTATCGCTAAGATTTTCAGCAGCTAATTCCTCCAAAGTGGGTAGCTTATTCCTTCTTTGCACCTTGTACATCATGTTATCAGGAGAGATAAGTCCCTGGAGAAAGGATATTATGCTTGGTAAAGTAGAAAGGCAGCAGAAAAGAGGAAGGCTCTCAACAAGGACTGACACCGTGGCTGCCGCAATGGGCTCAAACAAAAGAACAATTGTGAGGATGGCACAAGACTGGGTAGTGTTTCATTCTGTTGTACATGGGTCACTATGAGTAGAAATGGACTTAATGGCACTAGCCAGAGTAAGTAATTTCTCAAGGTCAAATTGCTTTATATGTCCTTTTATCATTGTGAAATATTTCACAATTTCATAACTTTAATTTACTTTGAAATGCTTTAACTGCTGCAATGAAAGAGTTCATATACCACAATCCACTGCCATCAAGTCAATCCCAACTCATAGAGACACTACAGGACAAAGTAGAATTGCTCTTTAGTTTCCAGCCAAGACTGAAAATCTTTACCATGGTACGGTAGCTAGCTTCCTATTTGTCCCATGAAGTCTGCTGGTGGGTTTGAACTACTGACTATCTGGTTAGCATCCAAAAGTTTAATCCACTCCTTAATAAAGCATTCCTTCATTTCGTGATACTTCTAAAATTATTTTACTGGAAAATATTAAATTTCGTCTAACCTCCAAAATATTTTCTAAACATTGCTGGATGTTGGAAAATTAGACAACACATATTACCATGTTCATCAAGGGGAAATAGCATATAAATCATAAAAATTTCAATCTAATTTAATTTTCTTTGATGGTCTAAAAATAGCACTTCTCTCCAAAATTAACCTAGCAATAAATCAAAGCTTTCTATATATGCTGGTGCCTTTTATATCAAATACATGAATTACTAATCTGTCACCTATCATTGGTATACTAGGGGGGAAAAAACACATTTTGATTTAGGCTCCCATAAATTCCTAATTACTGAATCCTTAACAAATTTAAAATAGCAGGTTAAAATATATAGTGAACACCAAAGTATCCTCTCTAGTTCACCATTGTTTTAAACAGTTATTTCAAATTTTACTATTTAATTACTTTAATGATCACCTTCAAAATGCAATGAGAATGAGTTATTAGAGGCAGAAAACAATTGTTCTTTTCTTACCTATTCGGTCAAATGTTTTATCACACTTGGGGCACTGCAATATTTTTTTGTTACTTTTCTGAATAACTACTGGCGTTAATCCTTCATGAATATTTCCTACAGCATCACCGGCCTCTGGTTCCTCTTCTGCCTCATTTTGATCTTTTTCGCTGTGTTCTTCAATGTCAGAAGATTCATCTGACATTTCTTCTTCTAGCCCATCTTCTTCAGCATTGTCTTCACTTCCGGGATCCTCAGAATCATTTCTATCAGACTTTTCTTTATCAAAATTATCTTGATTCAAAGTATCCGACCCATCACCACTTTCTGGTTCATCATCAGTGGTGTCATCAAACTTAATGGGGCATTTCCGGTTCCTGTTAGGTCTTCTGGCAGAAAAACCCCTCTCCAACATTTTTAACCCATGTTTTTTCCCCAATAACAGGGATCTATGGGTCTTAGCCAAATGGTTCTGCAAGGACTTTTTATAACAAAAATGTCTACTACAGAATTTGCACTGATGATTATTTGATAGTCTTCCAGTTAATTCATTTAATGTTTCTTCTGGGGATGACCTTTCAGTTAACTCGGACTGAAAGCTGGCGATGTTTTCGTTGTTTAGCAGCTTGACGGCGTCTATAATGTCCAGAAATTTTGCAGCCTCTAAAACAAGAGGTATTTCATATTTGTACACAAAAAACTCTGATGTGTATAAAAATTCAAGCAAATGCTGAAAAACTGAATGTGTTACATGATCCAGAGTGACAACATCGGCGCTTGGATTTTTGCTCAAACATGCATGAAAATAACTACTGCCAACAGCAACGACGACTTTATGCGCACTGAACTCTTTTCCTTCTACGACGATAAGTAAATCACAGAAAGACGGTTGTTTCTGCCTGTCATCATTTAGATATTTCAGTAAATTCTTATTGTATTGCAAAGAGCTCAAAAGCTTTCTCTGCTCCGGGGAAGGAGGAAGGTCCTGGTAGCAGCGAAGAGCTCCCGGAGTGTGTCTTTCTGAGGGAGCATAGATTACTTGCTGACACTGCCCTGCACCATTTCCTTCAGAAGAATCTTTATGATAGCCTAGATGGATTTTCTCATCGAGATCTGAAGTCCCCTTTCTCCTCTTCTTCATTGCAGTACAGCAATTTCAGAACAAGAAACTTCATAAGTGTCTTAAGTGATGTATAAAGGAAAACTAGATTGTCTTAGATTAACAGCTTCTGGAGGGGCGTGCCCACGGGTTTCATGGTCTGCAAAAAGAGTAAGAACCATAAGAAATATAGATGTATATCTAAAACTCCGTGGCACAGTAATTCTCTTGCATACAACTGCATTAGTCACCGAGGTCCTTTCTATATTATAACTTAATTGTGATAAAGTCGCAGTTCAGACTCATACGGGTGACTAACATCTTAAAGAGGACAAGGAGGGCCCGGTTAGAAAAGAGAGCCAACAAAAGAATAATTTTAAAAAAACCCAGGGCACATCTTTCAGGCCTGATTGATGATCAGGATGGAAATAGCAGGGCAGTAAAAGGAGGGATTCCCTGCAAGAGCGTTGACGGGCAGACTGACGGGGTGGGGGCTGCAGTCGTGTTTGGGGGCGCAGGGACGGTGACAATAAGGCCGTCGCGGGCACGAAATCCGAGTCTCAGCACGATCACACTTCCCTGGGGCGAGCAAGACACTGCTCCACGGGGACGGAGTGGGTCCCTCGGCCGAACCCCCCGCGAGGGGACACCCCGGAGGGCACGGAGCAGAAGTGGGGTCAACCGGAGGGACGACCAAAGGCAGCTCCAGAGCCTCGCCAGGCCATCGCCAGGCATCGAATCCGCTCGCCAGAGGCGACCCCACGACCCTTCCCGCCCCAGATTCCCTGGGCACACGCCCCACAGATCCATTACCGGGAACCCAGGGCTCCCCCGCTGGCTCCGAGCCGCTGAGCTCCACTCTGGGCGCGCTTGCTCCAGCGCCTACCCACTTCCGGGTTCAGCCCCCCACCTCACCCCTCCCTCCGCTCTTCCCCTCCCACAGCCACTCGGCAGCCACCCGGCACGTCAGCCGAGCGGGCGCGCAGCCTCCGCGCAGCCGGGCCCGACCAGCCGGCGGCCCGACGGCAGCCACTGCGCATGAGCGTGCCTCTTCTGTACGCATGCTCCGTGCTCTCCTCGCGCTCCTCCCGGGCCCTGGCTATGCCTGAATCCGTTACGCCGGGATTTCGCGGTCGCCTAGTGGCTTTGCTGTGATTGACCTAGGGACCGCTTTGCTCGAGTGGGGCAAGGAAAAGAAGGGCACTTCTAGAACGTCATAGAAGCACGAGGAGAGGCTGGGAAAATACCATTAGCGATGGATTTCATCTGTTTGGATGTATTTAATAATTTGCAATCATCCCTTCAGCACATCCCCTGAGCAGGAACCAGCAAATACTGCCCCATCGAGACTCTTACTGAGTTTCCCAGACGGTCTAGTCTTTCTCCCGCTGAGCAGCCAAGAACCAACCGATCTTGACCTTGCAAAGTGTTTGTTTTTTTTGTCCTGATTTCAACGTGTAGCACGGTTACTTTTTAAACTTTCTATTGCTTATGGGGAAAATGTGTGTTGTGCAGCTGGCAAAACAGGAAGGGAAATCAGAAAGAAGAAAAATCCATGAAGGCGACTTTTGAAGCCAGTGGCTGCTATTTTGCATCTCTAACCATTTCTAAGCTGATCGTCTGAGGATCCTATTTGAGTAGCAGGATCCTAGCTGGTTCAGTTGGCACATATAAGGGAAATAAGATGAAAGCTGAGACCAAATAGGATGGATTTCAGATTATAAATCCCCAACACACACACACACACACACACACACACACACACACACCTCAAACTCTAGAAAGAAAACAGTCTCAATAGAAGAAGGAAAAGGAAAATATCTCACAGTGGCAAGGAGACTGGGGAGATAGGCTCTTCTCAAATGTCTGAATGAGAAGATTAAAATAATCTTCCGTGATAATTCCTAGACAAATTCACACTGGTTGATTCTTACAAGGATCACCTATGTGATTGCCCCTGACCAAAATAAATAAATAAATAAAAACAACAACATCAAAAACTATGTTGGGAAAAATAAATCAACAATTAAAAAAAATCTCGCTGCCATCAAGTCAATTCTGACTCATATTGACCCTATAAAACAGGGCAGAACTGCCCCAGTGAGTTTCCAAGATTGTAACTCTTTACAGGAGTAGAAAGCTTTATCTGGTGGCTTCAAACTGCTGACCTTGTGGTTTACAGCTCTATACCAACCCACTACACTACCAGGACTCCTAAATAAATAAAGGGAACTGTAAAAAAATAGTGTCTGCAGGATTCACAAAGACTGGTCCAAATCAAATGCACAGCCATCAGTGGACTCTGACTCATAAGGGTCCTACAGAATGGAGTAGGATTGCCCCTCTGGGTTGTAAGAGCTGTAAACCTTCACCTGCGCAAAAAGCCTTACCTGCCTACTGCTGAGCCACTGCTGCTTTCAAACACTGACGTAGTTAGCAGCCAACACAGTTATCAGAATGAACTAATATCTAATATTAACTGAAAAGAAAAGTTTCATGTGTTCTAGAAATTAAAGAAGGGATTGAAAGGAACATGAAAAAAAACAAACCAATCCATAAACTAAGATTTTAAAATATAGGTGAAAACTCTAAATACATTAGTACTTAGAATATAGATGGGGATGTATACATGCATGTGTGAATATATATATACCAACACGCTGCCTTCAGGATTCCGACTCAGAGCAGTGCTGTGTAGGTTTTCTAAGACTGTCATCTTTACTGGAGCAGATAGCCTCGGTTTTTTGTCTGGGTTGAAATCTCTGATTTGCAGTTAGCCCACCAGGACTCCTTTATATATACACATATTAAAACAAATCTGCTGCACAAGACCTCTTCAAAGTTTTAAAAAGTAAGGATGCTTCTTTGAAGACTAAGATGTGCCTGACTCAGAACTTGGTATTTTCAATCATTTCATATGCATGTGAAAGCTGGACAATGAATCAGGAAGGCTGAAGAACGGCTGATGAGTATGAATTGTGGGGCTGGCAAAGGATATTGAAAGTACCATAGAATTCCAGAACATACAAATTTGTCTTGGAAGATATACAGCAAGAATGCTCTTTAGAAGCATAGGTGATAAAATGTTGTCCCACATACTTTGGGCATGTCATTAGGAGAGCCCAGTTCCTAAAAAGGCCGTCACACTTTTTAAAGCAAAAGGGCAGTGAACAGGAGGAAAGCCCTCAGCTAGATGGACTGACACCGTGGCTGCAACAAGGGGCTCCAACATAAGAACTGCGAGGATGCTCAGGACCAGCAGCGCTCTGTTCTAGCCTGCATAGGGTCGCTGGAAACAGAACTAACTTGACAGCCCTTAACAACAATGATGTAGTAAAACAAAAATGTGAAACAAGGTAGAAAATAAATCCAAATACTATACAAAGTAAAATTTAAGAAGAAAATAGAGAAATACGAAATAAAGAGACACAAGAGTTTAAATATTGGGTATCTTAGGAGACATCTCATGGGAACTTACGGAAAACCCACTGACAGGATTTATTATTACATCAATAAAAGAGAGAATGTACATGACTTGTGAGAGTTTTTCCCCTTAATCGTGTAAATTCTGTCAAAGACAGAAAATGACAACTCTTTATTTAGATGAATTCTCTTCAATTATGATAAACTTCCCAAATTTCCATTAATAATTACTATATATGCACAATTCAATTTAACTGTTCAATCAGCAGGCTTGATTGAACTGAACCATAAGCCGATATTATGAATAATTGATCTTAGAAATATAAAAATTGATAATAAATATGAATGAAGTATTAATCCTACCTTGCAAGTCTGGCTAGACCAGAGGATGTACACTGGTACAGATAGGAACTGGAAATACAGGGAATCCAAGGCGGATGATCCCTTCAGGACCAGTGGTGTGAGTGGCGATACTGGAAGGGTAGAGGGAGAGTGGGTAGGAAAGGGGAACCGATTACAAGGAACTATATGTGACACCCTCCCTGGGGGATGGACAACTGAAAAGTGGGTGAAGGGAGACGTCGGACAGGGCAAGATATGACAAAATACCAATTTATAAACTATCAAGGGCTCATGGAGGAGGAGGGAGCGGCGAGGGGGGGGAAATGAGGACCTAATGCCGGGGCTTAAGTGGAGAGGAAATGTTTTGAGAATGATGAGGGCAATGAATGTACAAATGCGCTTTACACAATTGATGTGTGTATGGATTGTGATAAGAGTTGTATGAGCCCCTAAAAAATGATTAAAAAAAACATGACGTCAACCGTTTGCTATCCAGTTGATTCTGACTCATAGTAATCGGATAGGGCAGAGCAGAACTGTGTCTGTGGGTTTCCAAGACTTCAACTCTTTACAGGAGTGACAATCCTCATCTTTCTCCCATGGAGCAGCTGGTAGTTTTGAACTGCTAACCCTGCACTTAGCAACCCAACATAAAACCAGTTAAGCCACTAGGACTCCACAGAGGTTTCAAAACGATGACTTTTTGGAAGCAGATGATCAGAACTTTTCTGCCAAAGTGGTGTTCAAACTACCAACTTTTCCATTAGTAAACTAGCATGTTGGCACTTTGCACCATCCAGGGCGCCTAATTTGATAACATCAACCCAAAAACCCTGAAGTGCCATCAAGTTGATTATGAGTCAGCGCAACCTTACAGGGCCAAGTGGAGCTGTCTTTGAGCATTCCTGAGACTGTGAATCACGACAGGAACAGACAGCCTCGTGAACTCTCAGAGTAGCTGGCGATTCAAACTGCCAGCTTTGTGGTTAGCAATACCTACCTGATGGCGCCACCAGGACTCCATACCAATTAGATACACACTGCTCAAAAAAGGAAATAATGAATCATTCTTTAAACATTGACCAACTAAAATGAAAAAGACAAATCTAGAATTATGGTGGGAGATCTTAAAAACTCACGTAAAGCTTATAAAAATTGACCAATTATTGACTCTCAGTGGAATTATCTTTGAAAAGAATACACTTTGGTTCTCAAATAACTTATCAATTTCCTATAAATTGTCAAATTTGGTCATATCATTTTGATTTTAAGACGTTCTTTTTGTAATGTCTGTTGGCTCGTTCGGCTGCTAATGGCACGGTCAGGAGTTGAAATCACGACCTGCTCTTCAGGAGAAATGTAAGGCTTTCTACTCCCACAAGGAATTATAGTCCCTGAAACCCACAGGGGCAATTCTGCCCTGTCCTGTAGGACTCGATATGAGTCAGAATTAACTTGACGGCCATGAGTTTGGGAGGTGTGGGGTAGGCTATGTAATGCTGCCCCTTGTCAATCATTATGCATGAAATTTTTCCCTAGTCAATTTTTTAAAACTTGAAAACCCTTTTTTAACCTTATCAGCTTACCTGTAGGTTTGTTACTTTGAGGCTTAGATAGCTTTTATTTTGTGCTATTCACAAACCAAACACTAATACACATTAATTATATTTTTATATGCATAAAACTTTGCATTTATAAATTTATATTTGTTATACAAATTTATAATCACTGAGTTTAGCAAAAAGAGAGCATAGGTTTTCAGGGATTTCTTTTTTTTTCTTTTTTTTAGAGTCAGTGAGTGAGGCAGTGAGTGAGTGAGACAGAGAGTGAGTGAGTGAGGCCGTGAGAGAGTGAGGCAGTGAGAGAGTGAGTCACTGACTGAGGCAGTGAGAGAGTGAGAGTGAGACAGTGAATGAGTGAGGCAGTGAGAGAGTGAGGCAGCGAGTGTGTGAGAGAGTGAGAGAGACAGTGAGTGAGTCTTTCAGGGATTTCTTTAAAATATTTACTCCATACCCACTCCTTTGAATGTCCTGTTAATTTCTTACTCTAATTCCTATTCCCATTCTTTCCTCCTCCATAACTTTCTAGGACTGTTATCAAATACATGAACAAATAAAGA